TTTTTAGTATATAACCCGGAGATAGATTGAAGAGAGATAATTGAGTCAAGCGAGCAGTATGCACGGTAAGTAAAGTGTGTGAATCGCTGTGATTTATAGCGTGTGTTTATTTTAATTAAATGTAATAACATCGAGCGCGAATTGAAAATGCGGGCAAGATTGCTTATAAATGAATAGAAAAAAAGAATTTGATATAAATTGTAAAAGTCAGCCACTTCAAAAAAAGAATTTGATATAAATTGTAAAAGTCAGCCACTTCAAAAAAAGAATTTGATATAAATTGTAAAAGTCAGCCACTTCAAAAAAGAAAAGGATTTGATATAAATTGTAAAAGTCAGCCACTTCAAAAAAAGAATTTGATATAAATTGTAAAGGCCAGCCACTTCAAAAGAAAGTGGCCCGGCATGGCCAAGTGGTTTGAGCGCTCGACTCGCAATCTGAGGGTCGCAGGTTCGAATCTCCGTCACACCAAACATGCTTGCACTTTCAGGCGTGGGGGCGTTATAATGTGACGGTCAATCCCACTATTCGTTGGTAAAAGAGTAGCCCAAGAGTCGGTGGTGGGTGGTGATGACTAGCTGCCTTCCCTCTAGTCTTACACTGCTAAATTATGAATGGCTAGCCCTCATGTAGCTTTGCGCGAAATTCAAAACAAACCAACTAACAATTATTTCACCTTTGATAGAAAAATAGTTAGTGATATCGCGTTTTTCATATTTTCATCCTTTGTAACTAGTTGTTTGAATAATTATGGCAGTTTTTCTGTAAACTATCATTAGAGATAGTTGATGTTTTCATACCACTTGATTTGATGATCCTGAAGCTTTAGGATGATGTATTTATTAATTCTTTGACTGCAACTTTAATGGATTCAAGTTCCATCGCCAAATAGACAGCTTCCTTTAAAGTGGTACATCTACTTTCTTTTAGTGTAATTCACACATCATCTTCTGTTATGGCATTTTTGAATTGGTCATTTGCCAAGGAATTCATCATTTCATGTGTAGTATCCGGGTATGATAATTGGGCAAATCCTTTCACATCTTCCGCAAGTTCCAAGGTTTCCTTTTTTCTATGTATCCTGATTCTGAACTTTCCTTTCTAAATTTCCTTTTGGCGTGTTACTCCAAACCTGCTTGATAAGGCAGCCCACTAATGCTTGATAGTTGTTACGGCTGTCAGCTGTAAGGTTGCTTAAAGTTGTTACAGCTGATCCTACATATTCAGAAAACATCTGGAAGTCACGCTAAAAATGCCCTCTACCAACAAAAACATCTGAATTAAATTTTCGAATAAAATAACCTACAACAATTAATTAAATGTGCCAGTTAAAACACAGGAATGTAGTTACTTTGTATTTCACAATTAACGGCAAAAAGAAAAGTGCAAAGCTGTGTAATATTCGTAAACTTAAGGTATGAACATATCATATTCATAAATAAATACAAAATAAATAAAACATGTACTTAACAGTGTGAATAAAACACTGCATGAGTACTATGAAATAAGTGCAGATTTCTTAGGTTGATTCTGATACGTGTAATTACAAACAGAGATTTTCAACTTTGAAAAAATCAATGATTCATTCCCAGCTGGCTCAGTAACAAATCTTTCTAGGATCTTTCTGAGATATTTCCTTAAATTTTGGATAGGCTGTAATTACATGTACGAAGACAGTATATAAGATTTTACTGAAAGCAATTATTTCTTTGATTGATTGTCGCGGGGAAAAAATTAGTTTTCCAGTGAAAATTTAGATATTTATTTGCTCGAATAGTTCAGGAATTTCAGTTCGATGAAAAAGAACAATTAAAAATCGTTACCAGTATTCACATTGTGTACGTTAATTCTACTAACTGCTACGAATAAAACAAACGCCAACTGATATAATCTTAACTGATGAAACTATATCACTTAGGAGATATTTTACATTTTTGTACCTTAAGTTGATTGTAGGCTACCACCGAAACAATATAGTACTAACAGTGTGTTTGCTTGTTAGTTTGAGCACAAATTTATGTAATGGTCTATCTGTACTGTATCCATTACAGCGATTGAACTCTGAACCACCTGATAACAGTAGTGACATAGCATAGTTTCAGGAAGTTATAATTCACCTCAATGCGTAGCAAATTCAAAATAATTAATGAATGAAGTAATAAAGTTAATTAACGCCCTATCCCAGCCATATAAATGTAAACTTGCTTTTATATCACCCTCAGATATTTTTTTTGCTTCATGTAAGATTTATGTGTTTTACAATAATAAAAATATTCAGACCATATCTGCAAACTTTACACATACGCAAAATATAAAATACATAAATGAAACCGAAATAGGTCATAGTATGCGTGTAAATGGACCCGGCTTCGCCAGGTGGTTAGGGTGCTCGACTCGTAATCAGAGAGTCGCGGGTTCGAATCCCCGTCACACCAAACATGCCAACCTCCGCCTTTGCCTGGTCCCAAGTCCAGGATGAGAAAGGAAGAGGGTTGGGCGCGGGGCTAGCAACTCAACCCCGTAAAAACCAA